AAACATTTTTAATGATCTCTGATGCTGACCTCATGCTCCAGGTGCCTAAAACAAAGAAAAGAAAGGCAGATAATTGGGTGTTCAGGACATTTTCCCCAACTGGCCACTTTCCCTTTAACAAGACCAAGCCTGTCTTCTCCACTGTACTCTCGTGGGCTAGCTGGGTCAGTACGTAAAATCATGGCTCAGAAGTCCCAAGACCTGGCGAGTAGCTGTGTAGACCCAACTCCCTGGCTGGGTGGATTAAACTTACTGCACCCTGAGTCTCTGCGTTTTGTGCCAGCTCCAGCCCAACAGTCTCTGCCAGGCCTCCATTTCCCACGTGGAAAACTGCAGTGCTTGCTAAGTGATCTTGTTCGTTATCCACTGAAATCACCTTGTCTTGACTTTTCTACTTGTTTTTTATTTGTTTCCCCCATTAGCCTATAAACTTCTCATTCCCAGCATCTGGGGCACATGCATGGCCCAATAAACATTTCTTCATTGAATGGAAGGAGCTGTGAATAGTGGCCTCCTCCAGCAAAGAACGTTCTCTCTCCCAAAGGGAAATCTACTTTGTCGATATGAAAGTGAGCTTCTTAATAGGTCTGTGGGGAAACATTTTGCTAACTCCATCCAAGTCATAACAGACTTCAAAGTCATAAAGGCAGTAATATGCTTCCTTTTAAGTGTGTCATTTGTATTTTTTCACACCCAGGAATGGTGAACTATCCCCCAATTATTATTTTGTGCTTTTGAGGCAGGCCGGCCCATTCACCTATGGGGACTCTGGTGGCCAAGCACCTCCCACCTCATTCTTGGCAATTGTTTTTATCTGCCTCCCTTCACACTGGCCCTAGCTCAGGTCTGGGAATCTGCCCAGGGTCTGACCTTTGAGTGTCTGTCTCATGCAATTCTGCTGCCCTGGTATTGACCCTCAAGGACACGGACGTATACTCTCTGCCACATTCATGACCACCTTGGGTGATGTGTCAAGGCATCTTAGTACAGCCCAGAGTTCCGTGGAAGGAAATGGCCCCAGGCTGCTTCCTGTTTGAGGTAGCTCTGTTCTGGATCACTTGGTCCTCCTCTCTCCCTCCTGCCACTGCTGATTGCATCGCGGCAATCACCCCAAGGTCATCCCAAAGCCAGGCTGGTGTGTAGAGCCTGGCTTGGTGCAGGAGCCCCAGCCAATGAGATGGGTCAGTCATATCCCACCTGCCTCTCCTGGGATTTGACTTGGGGAATGTGGGCAGAATCACAGTCAGTAGAAGTTGGAAGCTAAGTGGGAGCAGCCACAGGGGGCTGGGGCAAATCAGAATTATGACGAATCAGAAACAGAAGCGCAGAGTTGAAGACGAGATACGAAGCTTGGAAGCAGGAAGACATGGGGCAGACACACAAAGGAAGCCAACACTGGAGAGCGGCAACATAAAGGGGGTGTGCTGGAGGAGAGCCCCAGGACTCCTGCAGCTGGGCACTGGAGCCACCTTGAACTCTCAAAGACCTCCCTGCCCCAGTCTCCACCATCCCAGGTGTTGGCATCCCCCTGGTTTTGGGGGAGATTCTGGCTCCCTTGTAGCACCACAATAAACTCATTGCCTGAGTTATTCCAAGTGACTCCCTGTTCTTTATGGGCTCACAAGCCAACACACCAAAAACAGCCACCATCAATGGGTTAGGGGCCCAGACCAGCATGGCGGGGACAGAGGAGGTGCCCAAATAACCAACTCCTCTGCCTCAGACCCTAATACCCACAGTTAAACCCTTGGCTTAACTCCTCAAGGGTCTAAGCTCCATTTTTTTTTTTTCTTTTTTTTTGAGGCAGAGTCTCACTCTGTCGCCTAGGCTGGAGTGCAATGGCGAGATCTCGGCTCACTGCAACATCTGCCTCCCGGGTTCAAGCGATTCTCCTGCCTCAGCCTCCCAAGTAACTGGGATTATAGGCACATGCCATGACGCCTGGCTATTTTGTTTGTAGTTTTAGTAGAGACGGGTTGCACCATGTTGGCCAGGCTAGTTTTGAACTCCAGACCTCAAGTCATCTGCCTACCTCGGCCTCCCAAAGTGCTGAGATTACAGGCATGAGCCACTGTGCCTAATCTCATTTTCTTTTTTTTTGAGATTATAGTCTTACTCTGTTGCCCAGGCTGGCGTGCAGCGGCATGCTCTTGGCTCATTGCAACCTCTGCCTCCTGGGTTCAAGCAATTCTCCTGCCTCAGCCTCCTGAGTAGCTGGGATTAGAGACACGCACCACCATGACCAGCTAATTTTTGTATTTTTAGTACAGATGAGGTTTCACCATGGTGGTCAGGCTGGTCTCGAACTCCTGACCTCATGATCTGCCCACCTGGACCTCCCAAAGTGCTTGCTTGCTGGGATTACAGGCATGAGCCACCGTGCTCAGCCCTCATTTTCTTTTTTAAAAAATGTATCCCCAAGTTTTGTTTACATGTATAAAATATATATTTTATCAATATATTTATAACTGTATCTTATAGACAATATAAATACATAAGTATATGTAATATAAAAATATAATGTAAAAACATACATAACTACTGTATGGTAATATATAACTATAAATGCAAGCAAATATCATTCAGATCCTTCCCATAGAACTCCTGCTGAAATAGCTGCAAATGGGAAAAAACAGATTCTGGTCCCAATCCCCTGCCAAATATTCAAAGTGGAAAATTGGGATAATAATTTGCAAAGACTTTTTCCATCCCAAATGACAATTGATTAATCCCTCCTGGCAAACAAATTGCTGTACCATCCCCTGTAAGTCAGATGTCCTCTGAGATTAGTGTAATTGAAACCCTCATGACTATCCAAAGATTTCAGGTGGCTCTAATAATTGGTACATGTATAATAACTCCATCAAAACAGAAAACAAAAAGTCATACAAAGGGGAAAATAAATAACCCCAAATAATGAGGCTGATACAATTCCAGTAATGAACAACTAAACTCAAGTTTCCTGGAGCTAATGGGAAAAAGGGGAAGTCCTACATAAAAATGATCATTGTTTAATCAAAATAAATTAATCAAAAGAGAAGGGTTTTCTTTTGGAATTATTTAAAAAAATCAATTCATTCATAATTTCATCATAGTAATACTGTTATTTTTGATTGTATACATATATTCCAGTCCTTGTCTGCAAGTAAAATTGAAATTTGTTTTTCAAAAATATTTGATTAAGCAAAACATGCAGATAGTGTGAAAACAAGAAAGTATGAAAAATATACTGAAAGTTTCCTCTCATCCTTGTTATATATCTGCCCAGCTTCAAATTCCCTCATTCCCAGGCAGGGTTGTATCCTTCTAGGGTTTTTATGGATATTTAATAACATCATCATCATTATCACCAATATCAACAACAAAATATATATTCTTATCTTCAGCCCTCTTTTTGCACCTTAATTTTTTTTTTTTTTGAGACAGAATCTCACTCTGTCGCCCAGGCTGGAGTGCAGTGGCACCATCTCAGCTCACTGCAGCCTCTGCCTCCTGGGTTCAAACAATTCTCCTTCCTCAGCCTCCCGAGTAACTGGGATTACAGGCACATGCCACCATGCTGGGCTATTTTTTTTTTTTTTTTTTTTTTTTTTGGTATTTTTGGTAGAGATGGGGTTTCACAATGTTGGTCAGGCTGGTCTCGAACTCTTGACTTCAAGTGATTTATCTGCCTTGGCCTTCCAAAGTGCTGGGATTACAGGCATGAGCCACCGTGCCTGGCCTACACCTTAATTTTTTTCACTTAATTACATATCTTGCAGGCTTTCCCATCTCAGCAGGAGGAAAGTGCCCCATCCATATGGGCAGTTATAACAAAATGCCTTAGAATGGGTAGTTTGTAAATAACACACATTTATTTTTCACAGTTCTGGAAGCTGGGAAGTCCAAGATCAAGGCACCAACAGATTCAGTGTCTGGTGAACACTTGTTCCTCATAACAGACACCTTGAGCTGTGTCCTCACATGATGGAAGGAGGAAACAGGCTCCTCAAGACTCTACTATTAATATAATGACACTAACAAGCCTCTATTAATTATTAATATAACGGCATTGTCTCACTAATGAGGGCAGAATCCTCATGACCTAATCACCTCCTGAAGGCGCCACTTCTTAACACCATCACATTGGGTATTAGGTTCCAATATATGCATTTTGGGGGTCACCCATATTCACACCACAGTAGAAAGCTTCCTTATTCTCTTTTATAGCTACATGATTGTTCATTGTCTGGCTCTACCATAACTTATATAACCAGAGCCCTCCTGGTATCATTTAGATTGCTTCCATTTTTTTGCTATTGCAAATAAAGCCGGGGTGAATAATCTTATACGTATGTAATTTGATGTGTGGAAAAATGTAGCTGTGGGATAAATTCCTTGAAACAGACTGTTGGGTCAAAGAGAAAATGCATTTGTAAATTTGATAGTTATCACCAAATAGAGATTTCAGGAACGTATACTTCCACCAGTACAGTCAGATGGTTGAATGCCCCATAAGATCCACACACTCAGCCAGAACTAGTATCCTCCTGCCACAGTCCAGGGAGGAAGAAAGAGACACGTGAAAAAGGAAGAGCTGGTTATCTGATACCGGCTATGTGCCAGATACACTCTGTAAACACACCCTAGACATATTGTCTTCCTATAAGGCAAAGTGTGTTTCCCCGATTTTTATATGTGAGGAAACTCAGTCTCAGGTTAAGGAAACTTAAACAACGTCTCAAGAAAATAGAAGAGTCCTGAACCCTTGACTGGCTCTGAAGCCCGTGTTGGTTCCAGGGGACCACGTCATGGTGCCAGGGAGGATATCTCAGCCGAGCTCTGGTGTTCCCCTAAGGCTGTTTCTGTCAGCATTCATGAATGTCAAGAGTGGACTTCATTTCCCAACTACTTTATTTTCTTGCCTGCTTGGAACTTCAAGAGTCAGAGCTCTGTCCTGCTTAGAGAAACCCGTGGCAACGCCTTACCGTTCGTGCTCTCCCCAGGCCCCAGACCCGCCATCACATGTGACTTTTAAGTGTGGAGCAGTGCTCCTCCAGGTGCGACTCTCCCAGAAGAACATCCAGCCACAGTTCCAGGTCCCGCACGAGCTGCTCCAGCTCTAGCACCTCTTTCTCTAGCTTCTCCAAGAAGACATGCAAATTCTCCTTCAACCAGTTCCTGATGGCCTTTATGGGTTCTTCCGAGGGCTCGTTGGTCTGATATTCAAGCCCCTGGAAGGCAGACACCCGAGTGGCGTCTTGTGCTTTCTCAGATAGGACCCTCCTCCCTGCCCCCACTGGGGGGCAAAAAGATCCCTGGGCCTTTGCACGTGCTATTCATTGTGCTTATAGTACCTGTCCCCACCTTCTACCTTTGGCCAGCTCCTACTTATCTTTCATGACCCATGTTGCCAATGCCACCTCCTCTGGAAAGCATTCCCAGATTGCCTCACCTCAGTATCTTGCTGGATATGTTACCTGGGAATCGCCAAGATTCTGGTAGTAGTTACAGTCTCGGATCCTTTCTGACACCTCCCAGCTGCTTCCTGAAATAGGCACAAACATCACCTCTTTAGAGCAAATGAGTGCTAATTGAAATAAATGTAGTCGGTCATCCCAGTGCAATGAAGGGAGAAGGCAGGTTATGGAGGTCCCCTTAACATGCAGCCATCTTTGGAATACTCCACCAAGCTTCATGAGGATTTGGTTCCTCTTTTCTCGGATTCCAGAATGCTCACCCGATATCCCTGTGCTCAAGTACAGCACCAAGATCAGCAATGTCAACAGAGTCTAGGGTGCAAGAAGAGGAGGAGGAAGAAGAACATGAGGATAAATTCTCTACAGCTCCGCCTACTTGCATCACAAAGGGCCAGACATGGGAGTGTTTATAAGACAGTTTTTTGAGCTTAACTTTTTTCTAGTTATCTAAGTCACACTTGCTTACTACAAAACTCCCAAACTTTGAAGAAATAGATAACATGGCAAGTTACTGATGTTCAATTTGTGTTTTCTCTTATTTAAACATTTTTTGTTTTAATTGATCTTTAAAAGCAATCAACTTTATTGTGGTATAATTTACAAAATGTACACATTTTAAATTTACAAAATTTAAAATGTATAGTCTGATGAGTTTTGATAAATGTCTATACCTGTAGACTGTCACCGCAATCAAGATGTAGAACATTTTCATCACCATAGTTCCCTCATGCCCTTTTTGATGTCAATTCCATCTTCACTCCTGCCCTGACTAGAGAGAACCATTAATCTGTTCTCTGTCACTGTGAGTAGTTTTTTCTGTTCTATAACCTTGTATAAGTGGAATTACACAGTGTGTGTGCTTTTGCATTTAGTTTCTTTTGCTTAAGATAACATTTTTGAAATGCCTCATTTTTTTGTGCTCAGTTTTATTGATGAGTATATTGTGTGTTTTATTGATGAGTATTTATATTATATGGACACTGAATATTGTACAATTAGTTTCTTTACCTGTTGATGGACTTTTGGGTTGTTTCCAGTTTGGGGGTGTTATGAATAAAAGTGCTATGAACACTCATATACAAATCCTTGTGTGAACATATGTTCATATTTCTTTTGGGTTAATATTCAGAAATGCAAATGCTGGGTTATATAGTAAACGTATGTTTAATTTTAGAAGAGACCACCAAACTGTTTTCCAAGGTGTTTGTACTATTTTTTATTCTCATTAGCAATTCATGAGAGTTCCAGTTGCTCCACATCCTCGTCAACATTTGATATTGTCAATCTTTTTTACTTTTCTTGAGAACAGATCTTGATCTGTCACCCATGCTGGAGTGCAGTGGTGTGACCTTGGCTCTCTGCAGCCTTGACTTCCCTGCTCAAGCCATCTTTCCACCTCAGCCTCCTGAATAGCTAGGACTAGGGATGTGCATCACAATGCCTGGCTAACTTAAAAAATTGTTTTTAGTAGAGATGAGGTCTCATTATGTTGCCCAGGCTGGTCTTGAACTCCTGAACTCAAGTGATCCTTCCACCCTGGTCTCCCAAAATGTCCCAGTCTTAATTTCAGGCATTTTACTGTGTAGTGACATCTCAATCTAGTTTTCATATGCATTTCCCTAATGACTAATGATGTTGAGCATCTTGTCATATGCTTATTGAGCATTCATAATTCATGTATCATTTTTTGTGGTGTGACTATTTAGGTCTTTCATCTATTTTTTAATTGGACTATTTATCTTTTTCTTCTTAAGTTGTAATAGTTTTTTTTTTTTAACATATGCTGGGTATGAGTTCTTTGACAGATATTTGGATTGTGAATATATTTTCTAGAAGTCTGCATCTTGTCTTTTCAAGTTCTTATCAGTGTCTTGAAAATTAAAATGCTTCAGTTTTGATGAAGATCATTTCACCAAAGTTTTTCCTTTTGTGATTGTGCTTTTTATGTGTTGTTTAGAAACTTTTGCCTTCTTCAAGGTTGTGAAGACTTTTTCCTCTTCTAGATATTTTATCATTTTAACTTTTACATTTAGGAGTACGATCCATTTTGAATTAATTTTTGTATTTGACGAAATCCCACATGAGGTTCGAATTTCAGCCCTGAGAATGAATCCTTCAGGAGCTCTCCAATTCAAGAGCATTATCCTATTTACTTCAGTTCGTTCATTCATTACGCATCTATTAGGCACCACACACCATGCTAGGCACTAGGGATTCAGCAGGAAACTAAACACAAAGTCCATTCCTCCTGGAACATACCTTCTACTGGCAGTGCTGAGAATTTAATAAGACAGTGTCAGTAACAGCCCCGGCAAGAAGTGCCTAAGCCCGTAAGCTGTGTTTCACAGGAGTAGGATCCAGGGACAGTTGGGTGCAAGGTTCATTCCGGGCTTTGGGGCCCTTACTGTCTGTCTGGAGTGACAAAAGGAGCCCAGATGGAAGGAAAACAGTATGTACCTGGTCTGGCCTCACCTGCTTCTTGTCCTCACACTGGCTGCCCCTTCTCCGTTCAAGCAGCTGGGCTGTCACCTGCTCTGCTGCCACCTGCCTCCTGCTGCCCACTTGCTGGGTCGCCATAGCCTCAGATCTGGCTACTTGGGTGGACCAAGGTCCCCTCACTCAACAGGCAGAAGGGTACCCTTCCCCCCTCCCCCCTACCTGTGGTCACCAGGCATCCCTCAAGCACTGAGTTCTGATGTCACAGAAGGTGGGGACAGCAAGGTTCCCATCTTCCCACCATCCTGATTTTTAGTCCCTTCCCTCACTTTTTTCATATGAATGTAGAAAACAAAGGTCAGGAAGAAATCCATCAAAAGATTGTTTCAGGATGATGATTTTTCTGATTCTTTTCTTCTATATTTGCAAGTTTTTAATAAAAAATGCTAATTCTAAAGTATAAAAAACAATAGGTTAGGTGCAGTGGCTCACACTTGTAATCAATTCCTAGCACTTTGGGAGGCTGAGCTGGAGGATTGCTTTAGTCCAGAAGTTCAACATCAGCCTGGGCAATATGGTGAGACCATGTCTCTATTAAACAAAATTACAGAAAAAGCTATTTATAATTGAAAAATGTATGGAAATAATTATAGATTCACATGCAATTGTAAGAAACAATACAGAGGCTGGGTGCGGTAGCTCACACCTGTAATCCCAGCACTTTGAGAGGCCAAGGTGGGTGGATCATGAGGTTAGGATCCCCACCCTGGCTAATATGGTGAAACTCTGTCTCTACTGAAAATACAAAAAAAAAAAAAAAAAAAAAAAAAAAAGAAAGAAAGAAAGAAAGAAAAAAAGAAATTAGCTGGGTGTGGTGGTGCATGCCTGTAGTCCCAGCTACTCAGAAGGCTGAAGAATCACTTGAACCTGGGAGGTGGAGGTTGTAGTGAGCTGAGATTGCGCCACTGCACTCCAGCCTGGGCAACAGAGTGAGATTCTGTCGTAAAAACAGACAAACAAACAAACAAAAAAAAAATACAGGGAGATCCTGTGTCCCGTCTATGAAGCTTCCCCTCATGGCACAGTAACAGCCTGCATCACTGCAGTAGATCACAGCCTGGATATGGACACTGATGCACTCTACCAATCTTAAGCAGACTTCCCTAGTGTTACTTGTTCTCATTTGTGTGTGTGTGTGTGTTTAACTCTAAAGAATTTTGTGTAGGTTTGTGTACTTAGGACTACAGTCAAAATACAGAAGAATTTCAAAACTGCTAGAGACTTTGTGCTGCTTCGTGATGCCTGTTGCCTCCCAACCCCGCCCACACTGTTCCTAACTCCTGGAAACCACTTACCTGCTCTCTCTTTCTAAAATTTGTTTATTCCAAATGCCACATAAATGGAATGAAACAGCATTTAACCTTTGGGGATTGGCTTACAAAAAAAAGCATAGTATAATTTCCTGGAAATTAATCCAATATATTGCATGTATCAGGAGTTCATTCCTTTTGAGTGCTAATATTTTGTGATATGTGTATGCCATAGTGAAGGACATGTTCCAAACATGATCAAAACCTGGCTGCCTCTCGTTTTTGACTCTTGTGAGTAAAGGTGATCTGAATATTGTTGTACATGCTTTTAGGTAAACATAAATTTAATTTCTCTGGGATAAATGCCTGAGAATGCAATTGCTGGGCTATAACCTCATGGCATGATAGTTTTATAAGAAATTGTCAAACTTTTCCAGAACGGCTGTGCCATTGTACATTCCCATTAACGGTGTATGAGTGATTTGGTTTCTCCTCATACCCACCAATATCTGTTTTCATTATTTTTTAATTTAACCATTTTGATAGATGTTTAGTGACATCTCATTGTGGTTTTAACATGTATTTCCCTGATAGCTAATGATATTATGATGTTGAACATCTTTTTTAAAAAAATTATTAAACAATTATTATTATTATTATTTTGGTGGAGACAGTGTCTTGCTATGTTTCCCAGGCTGGTCTTGAACTTCTGGCCTCAAGCAATCCTCCCACCTCAGGTTCCCAAAGTGCTGGGATTACAGGAGTGAGCCACCATGCCCTGCCTGAACATCTTTTCATATGCTTGCTTGCCATCTGCAGCTCCTCCTCAGTGGAATATCTGCTCCTGTCTTTTGCCCATTTACTAATTGGATTGGTTTTGCTACAGTTGCCTTTTGAGAGAGTTCTTTGCTCATTTTGGATACTAATCCTTCTTAGGATATATGGTTTGCAGATTATTTTCTCCCAGTTTGTAGCTTATCTTTTCAACCTCATTACAGGGAGTTTTGCAGAGAAAATGTTTTAAGTTTTGATCCAATCTACCACTTTTTCTTTTATGAGTTGTGCTTTATTTGAGACAAGTCTAAAAACTCTTTAGCTAGCCCTAGGTCCCAAAGATTTTCTCCTATTTTTTTTTTTGGTTGTATAGCTTTATGCTTCATATTTCAGCCCATGATTCATCTGGAATCAATTCTTGTATAAAGCATGAAGTTTAAGGTCCATTTCTTTTGTTTATGGATGTCCAGTTGCTCCAGGACCATTTGTCCTGTATTCTGCTTCATTGATCTATGTATCTATTCCTGAATCATGCCACACTGCCCTGATTGCCGTAGCTATTCAGTGATCCTTAATAGCAGGTAGAGTGATTTTTCCTATTTTGTTTTTCTTTGTCAAGATTGTTTCAGCTCTCCTAGGACCTATGCCTTTCCATATAAACTTTGGAACAAACTTATCTAGTCCACAACATGCCCAGCTGGGATTGTGATAGGAATTGCATCAAACCTATGAATCACTTTGGGGAGCACTGTCACCCTCACTATGTGGTGTCTTCTAGCCTGTGAACACAGTATGCTTCTTCATTTATTTAGCTCTTCTGTTTTGTTTGTTTTTTAACCAGCATTTTGTAATTTTTGGAATATGGCTTTTGTACATGCTTTGTTAGGTATACCTAACTATTTCATATTCTTTGGACTTTCCTTATACTTTAAAAGCCCCCATGTACCAAACAAATTTCATGTCTTAAGAAATCATCAATGTTCCACATTTTTTTGAGTTAACTTTACCAAAATTCCACACACATAGTTTCTGATTGGCACCCAGATAACTGATATATTGAGACCTGCTATATGCTAGGCATTCCACTAGATTATTTTACTAAAGCTTCTCTAGGCTATAATTCTATGGGCAGTGGGGAATTGAATCTGTCTTACTATCGCATTTCTAATGTCCCTCATGCAAACCGTTACATAGTAAATGTTCAGTAAAAATACCTGTTGAAAGGATGAATCATGCACAATCTCAAACTGTAGCCTCCGAGAAGCCAGGAACTGTGTCTGGTGAATCCATTTTTGTGTTCATAGTACTTGGCTCAGTAGATATTTGCCGAATGAGTAAAGCAGGTGGTATGATTTTTATGTTTATGAAGAAGTCAAGGTCCAGAGAGGCTAAGGAAGGAAATCAGAATTGTTGGGTGTCATGAATGAAATACCTACTGTGTGCCTGATCCAGGCTAAATGCTTTCTGCACAGTATCTCATCTAATAGTAATTGCCTTGCAAGGCCAGTGCTGTTAGTTTCTGTTGGGGATGTCACTCTCCTTACTCAGTAGCACATGCCCTGCCTTGGTATGGGTCTATGTAACTCCAAAGTCTTTTAGTTTACCACAAGGAGTTAATGTAGTTTCAGTTAAAAACAAAGAACGTTGCCATTCTTGTCTTTTGTGGCTTCATTGTACGTAAATAGATGTGGGACTTCCGTTAGATTTTCTGAATATCAAACATAGCCATCTTCCCTCCTGCCCTTCCAACTCCAGGACTGTCCTAGGTTGGCGCCTGGGCACTTCATACAGTCTCCACTCTTTCCTGCCTCTTCTTCTGCATATCTTTATCATGATTACTGAAGCGGCTACGTTGTCTGGGGTAAATACACAGGGTTCGTCGTCTTATGTCAGGAAAATTTACCACACGGACACACATAATAGGCAAAAGAGAGAGAGAGGGGACTTCTCAGAGGAAAAGACCAGCCAGTGGTGGATGAGCCAGAATTTTACAGTTAGGCTTGAGGAGGTGGGGTCTGATTTACAAAGAGCTCACAGATTGGTTCCATCAGGTATGATATTTACACAGTGAGTGTGGAAGGCGAGCCACCCCGCCCTAATCTTATTACGCAAATGAACTTTCCCCTTGGCTGGGGCTCTCTTGTCTGCTCCTTACTGTACACTTGGCAGACAAAGAGAAGGGAAGATGGAGCCGCCATCTTGAACGTGATTGGCACAACTGTCAGCATCCATGTCTGCAGCTCGATTTTACAGGCTGCTCTTCGCTAGAAAGGAAAATGATTGGGGGCTGCTCTTCTTTAAAAGGAAAACCCTACCAAGCACTTCTGTGCCCTCACTATCTAAGTAATTTCTTCTTAACTCCTGCATTTGTATCATCCTATGTGCAACTAAGATATTTGAAGAGTTTTCTAAGTCCTGGGCAGCTGTGCAAAGTGCTTTTCATGCATTGGTTCACCATATAAAAATTACAACTCTAGGTGGTAAATCATATTTTTTTATGGAGATGATCTGTAAAATCATCTCCATTTTACAGATGAAGAAACTGAAGCTTAGAGTGAGTAAGTCACTTTCCCCAAGTGACTCGGCTGGTAAAAGGCAGGGATGAGATCTGGACTCCACCATTCTGGGGACAGCACCCTGGCTCTTGGTGGCCGTGAGATACTGCTTCTTCCCTGGAAAGATTCAAGAACAGAGAAAGAACAAGTCCAGCCCAAGACAGGCCAAGGAAAGGTACCCAACTCAAGTGTCTTGCCTCCCACTTGAGGACTCTCCAAATGCCGTTTGCATTGTCCTGATGCTCTTGCATGCACCCATGCAGTTGCTGGCTCTTGGGCTTTATCTGGTGGGCACATTAGAAATGGCAAGTGTGGGTATGTAAGGACTGCTCATTAAGCTAATTATGGCACATCAAAAGTAACGAATTACAGTCACAAAAAGTAATGAATTACAGTAAAAAATTACAGTCACACACAAAAGTAATGAATTACAGTCACATTTTTCTAGGAAACACAATAAATTCTTCCAGGAAACCCCTTTGGAAGGCAGAACTTTTGGGAT